GAACTTCAGCCATGAAGCAGATTGTTTTCTGCGAGCCTTGATTCAATATATCGGATAGTTGTATTTTATGCCATTCTGCAATTATCATAATCTTTAGAGAAGAAGCAGTTGATCGAGGACTGATTGGTTCCGGCAAAGCTCATATCCGAACCATGGCTGCAGTGGCACAGGCACAAGTTCAGGATTCGGTGGGTGGTATGGGTGTGCCGGAAGCCATCAATCATTTCGCTAGCATCGGCTCCTACAGCAAGAACCCACAAAACGAAGAACGAGATTTGCACCGCTGGTTATCCGGACTGTACGGGCTGCAATTGGAGCTTTATGAGCTTCGATTGCGTCTTCAAGTAACTTGACAACACACTCAGCAGGATTCCTTTAAGTCGTATCTCGCTCTCTCTCTCTCTCTCCCACTCGCTCCCTCTCTCTCTCTCTCTGCGGGCCTGGGTTGTGGATGTGTGGGTGTGCGGGTATGTGTGCCTGTGGGTGTGTGGTCTGTTGTGCTGCCTTGCGAAGCTCAGGTGCCACATTCCACTGAATGTGAGGAGATATGCATATCAACTCTGATGCCCCACGAAGTTCTACACTGCATCGCATGCGCTGGCTCCAAGCAGGCTGTGCGCGGATCGGGGTATTAGATTGTAGTTTCTGTAGTTCGGGTTTTACAAAACTCAAGTTTTCAACAATTCAGTCTACATGGCAGTCAATGTGAACTAGGTGGCCACTTCACTGACTGGAGAATACGACTCCGAAGCTATTCGAGACTTCTGGCTACACTGCGAGACATTGGATGAATGGAAAAGCCACCCTGTCTTTTCAAAGGGAAAGGAACTGGGAAGCCCCTTGCAGCGATGGTGCTTATACAAAATCATTAAGCCTAGTAGTAACTGTGCAGATAATGATCGATACGCTATTCTACCGCGAGGCATCGTCCCCATGGTATTTCACCTCGACGGTGCTGAGTTTTACGCGAACTCTGAGTATCTTGTTTGGTCCATGGGCAGTGCCCTTGCAAGTGGAGATGTGCCCCAGTGGCAACGGGTGATAGTATCAGATTATCAGGAGCATCCTTGATATTCAATGCATTCATTCCAGGTGTGGGACATCAAGTTCCCCTTGGTCATCGTTCCGCACGAAGCCGTTCGAGACAAGAAGGCGCTTGCGGGCCTGTGTTTAAAGGTTCATGAAGCGCATCTATTCGTATTGAACACAGCATGAGTCTATAAGCCCGAGCTCCAATCCACACAGATATCATTCGACACAGGTTCACGATGCTGTGCAAGCACGGGTAGCAAAGTTCATCGGATGGTCCATGCGATTTGCCCTTTCGGGCGTGGGCCCTGCCGTGGGATTCGACAACGAGCCGTTTCTCCCGAAAAGCTTGCATGCCCGTCTGGCAGGCAAAACACTAGGCAATGGCTTGGTGAAGGCTGCGTACTTCGGGATGAGATATGATATGAAAGCTCGTTATCAAGCCAACTTTTTCGAGAGATGGTACAACTGTGGATCCATATGCGAAAGTTGTATGGCGCAACAACCTTTCAAGAATTCTGACCCAGCGTTGAATTACAAGGATTTCCGGGAAACAGCCGTGCACAGAATGACGGTAATATCGCACGAGACGTATTGCCGGACCGCTACCATCCCGAGCCCCTGGCTAGCTGTAGAAGGATGGACGCTGGGGACTGCTTTTCGAGACCCGATGCACTGTATGTACCTGGGGATATGCGCTTCTGTTCGCAAAAGATAGCTCTGGTTTTCTACTGTGTGAAAGCCATTTCAAAGTATTGTTTCTGTTTTGTGGACTTGTGCTCTCGAGGCAAGGACTTATTCCCCAGCATCTTGGGGGAGTTCCTGGATGCTGGTGTTCTGGGGGGAGGCGACCGAGAGTCGCAACTGAGACGGCTTTCAGTGGAAATGCATGCCGCCTGTCAGGCGGCCGGGCCCTTGGGTGTGACAGCTAGAAAATATTTTTTTGTTTCTGTGCTTTCAGGGAGGAGAATAAATACAGCCCAGCCCATTCCCAAGCAGGTTGCACATTCGTCGACGAAGCTTCACACTGTCCAACACTGGTGTGAGCAAGCCATCTGAATACGGTGAGTTTGGAAGTGTTTGGAAAGCAGCCGAGATCAAGATTCTACTTTGGTTTTTCACTCGAAAAACTGTGGACGTGGCCGAGACGACGGATGCATCTTATAAGAAAACGTCTTCTTCGTATTCTTTCTGTGCTTTTCAGTTTTAAGGCTACCACTCCTTGTTGTAATCTCCCCTCACACCGTGAACCTATATGCCCTAAACCTAAACCCTTAAAAGCCTTGCACCTTCGAATTTTATCGGAAATCGTAGCCGCTGAACTGCTTAAACCACCTTATAACCTCCGACCCCTTATAGCACAACACTACCGTAAACCAAGGACCCAACCCTGAAAACTGTTGCATCCTGCACGTGGTGCCTACACAGAGCAGTGCAAATCTTTGACGAGAACGATCTCATCCTTCCGGTGAACGATGCAGAAGCTGCTTACAAGTTCATCATGCAAGGTTTGCAGTGTTGGCAAGACTTGGCACTACGAAACTTGACGCTTGGTAAGCGACGGTGGAAACTGCGCCCTAAGCATCACTATGTAGACCATATAGCCAGAGACGTGCGTCGCACGCGGCTAAATCCACGACTTGTCATGCAATGCTTCCAAGAAGAATCCTATCTAGGACACATCAAAAGGATAGGAGTGCATTGTCACTCAGCACAAATGATGACACGGCTTTTCCAGCGGCTGATGATTCTGCTCGCGGTTCGCTTTAAGGATAACATCACGAAGTGAAGACGAAATTCTGTGTAAACAAATATAAGCACCGGTACAAGTGACACTATGCCCTTGAATCTTCAGTGATGTTGATAATTCGTAATTTAGATTGCTCGGCCCGGCAGTCCTCGCAAGTGGCAGCACGCCGCAGTGATGGGGCACAGCGACAAAGGGTTGGTTGCAGGAGTCGGGGTTTAGGGTTTTTGGGGTTATAGGGTTTAGGGATAAGGGACTTACAATGTTGGAGGATTTGATGAGGGCTTTAACTCTATATGGGGACTATATATAGATATGGGGATTTATAGACTGGGAATTCGGATTTCGAGGACCTCAGGCCCGCGATGCCGCCGTGGCAGAACCATAAACCCAAAGTTAGCCCCAAGCTGCTCATTAAATGAGCATAGAATAGCCCGGAATCAAACGTCTCCGAAATCCTAAACCTTGTGTTGGGGCTTTGGGGCAGAATTGTGTTGTACGGCCTTATATATATATATATACCTATATAACCTATATAACCTATATAGGTTTTTTGGTGTTTAGGATTTTTGGTGCTTTGGACTTTGGAATTTCAGAGTTGTCGGCCTCGAGGGGTGTTATGAAGAATTCATGTGGTGGACAACACTATAGAACTCCTAAACTGCAACCGGAACTCTCATTCCAAGCAGCAGCGATCCAGATCTGAGCTAGGTTGCTCTACGGACCTATACGCCCCTACTTCCCACACATGAAATGCTAAGTCCAGAAATATAGGGGGCTGAATATAAACCCCAAATTTCCAAAGACCCTATACATAGTCACCATAATCTCATCTTGAAAGGTCTCAACTCCACAGCCGAAGTACCCAAAGCTGCCAAAGATCCTCCTCATTTCAAATCCAGTCGGTAAAATATAAGGAAGCAGCGGCCACTTGCAGAGAACCTCGGGAAACCATCCGAACTTTAACCTCAATGCCTCAGAGACTTATAGGTCCTCCAGAACCGGCCGCGATTTAGCTTTCGACTTATATCTTTTGGTTATCATATTGGGGGGCGGAGCAAGATTCGCATAAAGTCCTTTGCACTGCAATGGTCGCATTCTAAGTTATATAGCCACGTGTTACTTTGGAAGTTTGTAGCGCGGAACCGGTTCACTCAAGTCAATTAGTTGGTTGGCTTCCATATCCAAGTCTGCCGCCGCAGCTACGAAGCTACCCGTTCGAGAGCGACATTTACTCGTGCATGGTGCTGCAATCTGAGATGAATTCAACCACTGAACATGCACGCGGGTTGAAAGTGCACGGAAATAGAACCCCGGCAGCACGAAAATATATGCAATAAGATGGATGAATTTTCGGTTTAGCGGAAACGCCAACTTCTAATATTGGCGTTTGTGTTTCGCTAACTGGCGGAAACGCCAAATTCCAACGCTGGCGTTTGCTTTGTATATGTAGCCACAACCCGAATTCCAATATACTTCCGTTAACTTGCTTGCATTGCATGTTGCATGCATGAGTTTCCGGGTTTGGCGGAAACGCCACATTCCGACACTTGCGTTTGCATGCGTATATATACCATGTCCATGTATGATTTTCCGGTTGGGCGGAAACGCCACATTCCGACACTTGCGTTTGCATGGATAAATATCATGTCCATGTATGATTTTTCCGGTTTGGCGGAAACGCCACATTCCGACGCTGGCGTTTGCATGGATAAATATCATGTCCATGTATGATTCTTCCGGTTTGGCGGAAACGCCACATTCCGACGCTAGCGTTTGCTTGGATAAATATCATGTCCATGTATGATTTTTTCGGTTTTGCGGAAACGCCACATTCCGACGCTGGCGTTTGCTTGGATAAATATCATGTCCATGTATGATTTTTCCGGTTTGGCGGAAACGCCAAATTCCAACGCTGGCGTTTGCTTGGATAATTATCATGTCCATGTATGATTTTTCCGGTTTGGCGGAAACGCCAAATTCCAACGCTGGCGTTTGCGTAGCGGTAACGCCAACTTGGAACGCTGGCGTTTGCGCGCGTGCATGCCATGGCAGCTATATACTTAACTATATTATATATTTTATATACATAGCCAAACTTACGTATACAAAAGACGACTTCGTTTACAAACCGAATGTTTGTATACGAGAGACTACTTGGACCTGTTAACATACTTCGTTGGTGTGCAAAGTTGCCCTCAGAGCAGCTTCGGAGCGTGACGGCATGGAGGAGGGTGGTGATCCCCGCCAGCTCGAGGTGGAGTGCGGAACAGCCAACGTCTGGTACAACACTGTCAAGCTCGCCTCCGGGGTCACGTCCCCGCCCGAGGGGGCCACGGCCGAAAAATCTGGCTGGGTGCACTTGAGCACACTTGCCAGACAGATAGGGAGTTCGGAGGACTCCGTGACGACCAAGTGGGGGGAGCTCCGCAAAGCCCTCCAGTGATCGCCAGGAACAACAGCAGCCGAAAGGGCTGCCGAGACGACGCCACGGCAAATGCATGCCCTGAGCTGGAATGTTGGGGGACAGACAGCGGCGAAGGCCCTGGAAGTGCTCCTGGCACTCAGCCGAGGGGGAATTCATCCCTTTCACCAGTCCCTTGTCGTACTCTTTCAGGAGATCATCTGCGACGAGGGGAAATTTCACTTGGAACTGGAGGAGCTGCAACTCATCTTCGGCAAAGGTCCCGGAGAATGGCGAGGGAATGCCGTAGCGCATACTTCCAACTTGCGGCATACTCGTGGAAAGATTTGCCCGGCGCCCTTTCATGCGTATTGACATCAGAGCAGATTCGTTTCAGTGCTGTTTCAGTGCACGTTCCGCACCATGCCACACTTTCAGCAGCCGAAAACATCCTACAGCAACTGCAGCCACACATGCATACCACCACGAAAGCAGTGCTTGGCATCGATGCCAACGAAACCTTCAGCAAAGCACACCAAAGCAGGCAAATAAAAGCAGACAGCGCGAGGGGGGAACTCCTTCTTCAGTGGTTTGAAGAACAACAGCTACACCTACCCGAACAAGCGCTCCACATGCCCAGCCACTTCCCCTACAACCACAGACTTGAACCCCGCAGACTTGATTATGTCCTTGCCAAGCACCTTCTGTGCGACACAGGGGAAGTACTGACGCAGAGGGACATCGCCACCTCAGACCATGAGCCCATTTGTGTTCCCCTAACCGAGGTTCGTGTTACTGCGGTCCGCGAGAGAAAGATGCCCCCCTGGACGAGCCGCCGTATCACTAGCACATCCAAAGTCGTCTACGAGCTGGATCAGCATGCCACACTCCAGGGGGACCCTGTCCACCTTATCCAGACCGTCGCCGTTGCCATCACCGATGCAGGAAAAAGCAAGAAACGGTTTTGCGAGAGCCCCGACCTTAAAAGACTCCGCGCTCAAGCCCTACGTGAACCTCCAGGCGAACGACGGCGACAACTTTGGAAAGACGCTCGCAAACAACACCAGCGCGAGCATCGACAGTGGAAGCAACGAGCCATGCAACTCGTTGCTGAGCAGGACTGGAGTACCAAGCGGGCACTTACAGAGCTGCGCCGAGACCACAGCTGGGAGCTCGGCCTTACAGACAGTAGCAACTGTGTTGAAGAGGGCTCGCATTATCGGTGATAATGGAGAAGTGCGATGGAGCTGGCGAAAGCTCCATAACACGTCAAGTCAAGGTCGCAACAAACAGCTGTCGTCGTCACTCAGCTGTCTGCAGCTTGAACCTTCGAGCCTTTAGGGTGAATAAGGAACCAGCTAAACC